TCCCTGTCTGCGTATACGACTACAGGAACCCCGTTTATTTCTTTGATATAATCTATGTAAAATCTGGATATATACTCAGGGTTTTTGTTAGAATTGCAAGCTCTGAGCCGGAGAATACGTCTTGAAAAGCCATCTACACAGCCATGAATGGAAATTCCGAATGGTTTTAACTTGTCCCAGCCCTCTAGATGAACACAAAAATTCGGCCCTTCGTTAAAGTACCTTCTACGCTGAAGACGACGTTGTCTACGCTTTATTACACCTTCTGCGTCCAAAACAGTTAATGCAAGACACACCAATTCACAAGACACATTGAGGTTATGGTCGATTAGCAGACGCCTTCTCATTCCTCTATAGCCTATGTCACCGCCCGAGCCTAAAAGTTCATGTAGAATAGCCGTAACAATGTCTTCCAAACGTGGCTGGTTGTTTCGTCTCGTCAGATTCATTTCCCTTAAAACTCGATGAATTTGTCTTGCACTAAGAGCAATGTTATTTCTGGTCGCAAGAAATCCAATGATTTCCTGAATAGTATAGCCAGAGTGGTAATAAACAGCAATCATTTCATTCCTGCTGAGAGGTAGTCCGTCCACAACCAAACGTTGAGCCAGAGCAGGTGTATAGATATTTTCACCCATTGTATTTTTGTCACTGAAAAAAATGGGAAAAAATAATTTCTACACAATGAATTTTTGTTTTGCTTTCTACATGTGTAAATTTACATCAAACAAAATCATTCTATAAATACACTACGGCTTGCTTGTAAGAGTTTATCATTAAAATATTGCAATTCAATTAAACTTATCTAAGATAGCACTGACGGGTATAGAGGGGGCAAGGGGCCTCGGCTCCCCCTTTTGTGTCCGAAATACACACATAAGATTTAATAAATCATTTTTTTATGTGATCGTGGGCCCTTACCCCGACCAAAACTGGTTGGGACCCCCCTTCTCAAGATTCCTGGATCCACCACTGAAGATAGTGAAGAACTAAAAGTATTATGTTTGATCAAATAATAGCAGCATGAAGTACATATATTAAGAAATGGGCACTCTGACGAAAAGAGATATTGACATCAAGAATTACTTTCAGTAAGGATTATACAAATCACCAGATTAATCAACTAAAAGATCTTCATTACATCCAATATCAGTTTTATATCAGATCTAAAACTAAGTTTTACCTTGTCAGTTGTGTAGAGACAAGATGAACGTTCAGAGATGAAGCTTCTCATTCACTGCAAACACAGATTTTGATTAAACTGCACCCTCTTTCAAACAAACAGCATGCCATCACAAATAAGTTGCATGTCGACATAAATATGTTGCATGTTTAAATAAATAAGTTGCATGTCAACATATTCATCTTGCACATAAATAAGTTGCATGTCGACATAAATAAGTTGCATGTCAACATAAATAAGTTGCATGTCAACATAACTAAATTGCATGTCAACATATTTTTCTCGCATGTCAACATAAATAAGTTGCATGTCAACATAAATAAGTTGCATGTCAACATAAATAAGTTGCATGTCAACATAACTAAGTTACATGTCAATATAAATAAGTTGCATGTCGACATAAATAAGTTGCATGTCAACATAACTACGTTGCATGTCGACATAAATAAGTTGCATGTCAACATAATTAAGTTGCATGTCGACATAAATAAGTTGTATGTCAACATATTTATTTTGCATGTTAACATAAATAAGTTGCATGTTAACATAAATAAGTAGTTTCTAGCATGTTGGATGTCACATGTAGGCGATATTTGAGATTTTTGAAGATTTTTCATAAGTTTTATTTTATTGCAATTTTCTTGCATGTCAACATATTTATATTGCATGTTGACATAACTATCTTGCATGTCAACATATTTATCTTGCATGTCGACATATTTGATAGAAAAATAACTTGCACACAAGGGGCAGAAATATGCCACCATAGTTATCTCTTTGTTCTATTGAAATATGTTTTGGGGTGTGTAAAAATGCTGTTGTGTGATTGGACAGAAAAAAATTTACGTGTTCAAGTTGTATATTTATAGCAACTTTCAGTTATCGTTCTTTATTTTCATATTTGGAAATCGTCCAGACCTGTTAAAGAATTTTAAAAACAAAATCGTAGTTTATTTAAGGTGTTTGGCTTCTGACATTAAAAATAATTGAAAATGATTTTTTTCTTTTTTAATTGTAAGAATAAACATAATAAATTATTTTAAGCCAGAAAAATGCATATGAATATGATTTAATTTTCAAGCTATAGGTGTTCCTGACAAAGGGAGGTAATTCTCTCATTTTAGTAAAGAAAAAGACCAAATTTGTGTCCAACATATTTAATATTTATTTTAAACTATGAAATGTTTTCAAATCATTCCAACCTTTTGCTATCTTTTAAAAGTAGTCATAGGGAATATAAATATTGATAAAATAATAATGATAATTGATAGAAGATAAAATTTAATTCTTATCAAAAAGCACACACCCTCATACAAAAAAATGCCTTTTTTTCCTTTCACAGGGCTTATAAAATGAGCTTGGAAAATAAATTAGAAATAATTAACAAGTATTTTTTTTTCTATATATTTGTTACTTAGATGAAGTGCTTTCAAATGGTGTAAAAAATTGTATATCAATATGAGTTACTTTTAAAGATATTTTAACTTGAATTTCCTCTGACCCATTTTTCTCAAATTTTGACCAGAGGAAATTCGGATTGATTCTGTTTGCCTCTTCCATGATTTTGGGGGATTTTCTATTTGCCTAAATGAATAAGTGTATTGAAACTCAATCTTTTTCTTTAAAAGAAAAGGGACATTTCATTTTTTGGGGGACTATTTAAGACTTAGAGGAAAGAGCTAGGGGAGGGTGGGGGGGGGGGGTTAATATCTATTTTCATGCCCACTCACATTACCTGAGGATAATTCTTTAATAGTTTGACTAATCATGGCTTTGCCTGTTCTGAGTTGAGAGAATTTTACAGACATTTCAAATATTTTTCTATGCATACTTTGCTCCACTTGTGGCCCATCCTTCCCCCAGGAATTATTGAATATAGGGTATGTAATGAAGCTAAATTTCACGTAAATGTCATCTTTTCTTCAGTGGTTCTTCAGAAGATTTTTGAATAATGCCACCAAAATTCTTAATTACCCCCCACTTCAAGAGGGCGAGACACTTCCTATGAACAAAGTTAAATCCCCTTAATTGAAATTGGGCCAGTTGGTCTTTCAAAGAAATAAAATATATCAAACTTTACACACCCCAGACAAAAGACCGATTGCCAGACAATCTTTGATCAGAAAAGCTCACTCGGGCTTCCGTGTCAGGTGAGCTAAAAACCACCACATAGTAATCATTTCACTATAAACGTTTCACAGCAAAATTCCAGTTATTGAAAATGAAGGGAATAAAAAAAAAGACTAAATGAATGTTTTGAACTACTAGTTGTACCAATAACAGCTAGTTTAATTTGCGTCATGCAATGTAAATCTCTCTTGATTTCATTGTATCAAACAAAATGTTCTTTATTCAAGATGAAAAATGATCAACTCTATCTAACTTTATTCAGATCCATGTTTCCTTGTGATAGAGATCTATCAAATTGTTACCTTTACAAGTAACATACAACATTTTTATATACTGTAAACATTAGATTTTTTGTGCCTTAGACAGAAAACTGCTGTTGCTATTTCAAGAACATCGCTAACTTTATGACCACAATAAAAATTTTGCTAGAAATCAAACCTAGCCCGATTGTTGAAAAATAGATTACTGCCAAGTATAGGTCATACACAATATTAAACATTTACAGAATGTCTTTTCATATTCATTTGTGCATGTTTCAATTTAATATGCACATAGTCTTCTTCAATAAATATCAATGAACACCTTTTAATTTTTCATGTATGCTCAAAATATGGGTAATGAAAATAAATTGTTGTCAATTTCTAAATAAGGATTTATTTTGAATGGAAAGAAAATGTTTTGTTCAACTACAAACTACCTATAACAATAAACATTGAAAAAAACAATAGTACATGGCATAATTATACCCCTGCTCTGAAGCACAGGGTTTATACTGTTTTTCTTTCTACACTTGTGTGTCTTTCTGTCAGTAACACATTTTTGTCCAATTTTTCTCAGCAATCACTCATCATGCTCAATTGCTCATCACAGATGCTTTAAGTTTTAGCACACTCTTTCTTTAGCCATGCCGTATGTTGGAATTGGTTTTAGACGAATCTGATGTCAACTTCCTGATTATCTGTGCATCTGTCTGTACCACAAATAGTAAATTTTTGTCACAGTTTTCTCCAAAACTACTCATCACATTTGGAATTGGTTTTAGACGAATCTGATGTCAAATTCCTGATTATCTGTGCATCTGTCTGTACCACAAATAGTAAATTTTTGTCACAGTTTTCTCCACAACTACTCATCACAGTTGGAACTGGTTTTAGACGAATCTGATGTCAACTTCCTGTTTATCTGTGCATCTGTCTGTACCACAAATAATAAATTTTTGTCACAGTTTTCTCCACAACTACTCATCACAGTTGGAATTGGTTTTAGACGAATCTGATGTCAACTTCCTGTTTATCTGTGCATCTGTCTGTACCACAAATAACAAATTTTTGTCACAGTTTTCTCCACAACTACTCATCACCGTTGGAATTGGTTTTAGACGAATCTGATGTCAACTTCCTGTTTATCTGTGCATCTGTCTGTACCACAAATAATAAATTTTTGTCACAGTTTTCTCCACAACTACTCATCACAGATGCTTGAAATTTTTTAGACATGAAATATGGTTGGATTCATTTTTTGTACGAATCCATTGTCAATTAACTTTGTTTATTCCTGTCTGTCCATATTCACATCAGAGTGAGGGTATTACTAGTGAGCACTGGCTCACAGAAATCAAACAAACAAACAAACAAACAACCAAACAAACAATAACATAGTTACATACAAAGAACATCATACAACTGCGTTACTGCTCAGATCTGAGAAAATCTGCAACAGAATCAATGATTTTTCTAGATTTTGTCACACGCACACTGTTATCTGTTATCTCTGTCAGCACATCCTGTACTCCCTCCCTACCATTTCTGCGATAAGCCAGTTGTAAGTGTGATAAGGAGAGTCCACTGCTGGCAATCTTATTTCCCATTCCATTCGAAATCACCTTTTGGTCCAATAAAGGCTTTAGTGTGCTCATTAGACTTTTTGTTGTGCTCTTGTGATGGAATATGGCAAAGGCAGAGTTTGAAGTGAAAGATGCAGCAAGTTTGACTTCAGGGGAAGGTCCTGTATGGTCCAACAATCTCTTCAAGGCTAAGACATCCTGTAATGAGTCATGCGCACTGTATTTGTCTTGTAGAATTTCTTCAAAGAGGTGTAACTGTGAGTATGATGAAAGGTTTGGATGCGAAATTTTGAAAAGAGGTAAGGTATCAATGAAACCAATGACTGCAGATGAGAATGCCTCCAAAATGTTTAATTTACTCAAAATGTTGAACAGCACAGGAAGGTCAAACACTTTGGAGTTGTGTCCAACTAGAACAGCATCTGACTCCGATTTCTTCATGAAGTCGATAAACTGGATCAGTGCATCCTTAATGCTGACTGTCTCAACTTCCTCATCATTGTGGTACATTTTATTGTTGACTACTTTTATTCCAGTAATTTCTGTAGCTTTTGAGGACATTGGTTTTTCTGGAATGATGTATTTGTTGAAAACCTCATCATTTCTAACTGCAGACAACTGCACAATATGAGAATCCCTTGCTAAAAATAAAAAACAAATAATTTAATTTTGATTGTAACGCATCATTTTATTGGATAAAAAATTAATCTAAATTGTATAATCTGGTTTGCTTACGTCACAATGACTTACATCAAATTGTATCAATCCGCTTGACGTTACGTTTAAAATATGAACTATTTGAAGGCGTTATAAAGAGAAAATTTGTCTTGTTTTATATTCTTGATGATTGAAAATTAAATCATAAGGAGTGAATTAAATGGCAACCCAAATTATACTGCTACAACCTGGGTTGGAGCAGTTTACGCTTTTTTATAAACCACTTTGAGGTTTAGAAAGCGTAAACTGCCCCAACCCAGGTAATACAGTATAATTTGGGTTGCTATTTAATTCATTCCTTAAGTAAATTCAAGTTTTTAAAATTAAAAGCATTAAAAAAAATACATACAAAAATTGATATATTGTAAATGTATTATATTTAGCATGTATGATATTTGGCAGAAATTGACTTTTGAATAAGTAAGCGTAGATTTGATTTAGCGCATTTCTTCATTTTCTTCTTTATGTGTATATGTGCAAGACATTTAGCGTTGTACTTGATTTAGCGGTTGCTGCGTTTCGCCAAATCCGCTATTAGAATACACAGCCAAATGTAATCCGTTTACAGTATGCATGATTTAAAAAATTTTGAAACATTATAATAATAGTAACCCTCTTCCCCAAGACTTAACTCCTTCAAAGATGCTTGAATTCTTTCAGAATATGCAATTTCTTTTTAATCAGTGTCCTCAGAAGGAAGGGTAAAGTTTTGAAAGATATAAAACATGCTTAACTACTTGTACCAATACCGGAATTATGCAAGAGTCTCCATTTCTATTTGTTTTCTATGATAACTCTAGTATTATTCCTTCAAAATGCATACAAAAGAAATACCGGAAGAGGGCCATAACCATCAGCATTGACTTAACATTTAAATCTAGGTTCTTACCTAGTCCAGTAGTTTCCAAATCAAAATAGATCTCTTCAGCATTTAACAGCTGACTTGAAGGGAGATGATCATACTTTGGAATTGTTTTTGGAGCTGGAATTTCAACGATGTCAGAGGCCTGCTGGAGATCACATCCTGTTAAATAACTGATGCCTTCCCTTGTTTCTTTTGTAGAAATACTTTGAATTCTGTAAAGAAGATGTATACTGTAAAACAAATGATTCTAAACTGAGGTCTTACAAAAGGCCTAGCAAAATAAACAATCACCTAATGTACAGCTAATAAATTAGGAGTTGTAAATAAATGAAAATCCTGAGCACATCGGCAAGGAAAGAGCACAAAGTACCATAACAGAAAGTTATGGTATATGTAATTTACTGAAGGGGGGGGGGGCTTAAATTTTATCACTACTTAAGAATGCCTCCATATCAATACAGCATATAACTTTTTTAACATTTTGTTCGTATATATTACTTAGTAATAATTTGAATTTGATTCCCCACTGTTTCCCTCCCTACCACAAAGGATCAGGATTTAAACAAATTTAAATCTTCAATACATGAGGATGTTTACATTTCCATATGACTAAACATAGCTTCTCTTTTTTTGGGGGGGGGGGGGATTTCCCTTTATTTTCCTATGTAAAACTTTGATCCACCATGTATGATTTGAAAAAAAAAATTAATTCTACTTTACCTGAGGATGCTTCCATATTAATATCACCAATCATAGCTTTGCTATTCTTGAGAATTTTTTAAAAAATATATTGTACTGTAAAATGCAATTGTGGCCCCACCCTATCCCTGGGGGTCATGATTTAAACAATCTAGAATCTACACTACCTGAGGATGATTTCATATCAATATCATTTATCATGGCTTTGCAGTCCTTGAGAAGATTTTTAAAGATTTCAAATTCTCTATATATTCCTGTGTAAAACTGTGATTGGCTATGTGGTCCCACCCTATCCCCCAGGGTCAAGATTTGAACAAACTTGAATCTACACTACCTGAAGATGATTCCATATGAGTTTCATCTTACCTGGCCCAGTGGATACTAACTTTGTAGCAAGTTTGGTTGAAATTGGCCTAGTTGTTCTTGAGAGGAAGATGGAAATGTGAAAAGTTAATGACAACAGATACATTTTTATCAGTAAAGCTCACTTGAGCTTTCCGCTAAGGTGAGCTAAAAAACTGGGTATGTAGGTAGGTAAAATTTTTATTTTAAGATTGCAGCAAAGCAATATGCCCTCCCTTCTTTGAAAAAAATATTTATCAAACCATGCTATTTATAACAAGCATACCGTAAATCTTTGGTGATTCAGAAAACAAATCTTAGTAACATGCAAGATATTAATTCCCACTTAAATTCATACTTATCATCATTCACTTGTTCTTGGTTTATTTTCATTTTTGAGGTTGACAAAAGGTTTTTTACACCTGACAAATGACAATCAAAGTATACTAGTACGTACTTCCTGGCTTTCAATTCTCTCCTTCTCCTTTTAAATTTCTGTGTCACTGAAATGGCCTTCTGTCGCTTTCTTTGCAAATCCCTCAGAATGCACTGTCGTCGAGTATAGTAGCCAGGAGAGAGGCCCAATTTCTTGTTAACCTTTAATAAGGATAAAAGAATCTATTATGTACAACTACAATGTACATACATATACAATACAATCTGCTTTTGATTAAAATTTGCAGAATTTTCAAATGTAAGAGATAACTTGAGTGGTTCAACTCAGATATGACACAATAAGCATGAAAAAATAAAAATTTACAAACCTTTACAAGATATCTGTGTCCAACATTTTTCTGGGCTACACATGCAGCAACTCTATATCTGAGGCTTGAAGAAGAGCTGTAATGATGGGTCTTTGGGGCTTTTGCAGACACCATTCTGTGAAAACTCTCATTGGACTGTGTGCTTCCTAAGCATGAAAGACGATCAGAATGACTTGCATATGAACTGAAGACTTCTTTCAGATCATCCTGAAGGAACCTATCTTTCAGGGGTTTTCCATGTGGAAGTGACTTGTACCTCAGGTTAGGGTTGTTAATGAAGTTGCACCACCTTGAGGAGCAGTGTTGGTGATCTCCAAATATGTGTAATGGAATTGATGAAAGGTCTTCTTTGATTTGAGAAGCATTTCCTTTTCCCTGTGCTATGGAGTAACTGAAGCATTTCTGAATGTACTTTATCACAGACAAAGTTAGAGATGAATGTTTTTTCTTCAAGGTAAACAAAGAGTTTGTAAACAGTTTCTTTAGATGATTTTTATCAGACAACTTCTTAATATCAGCATTGACATTAGCTTTCAGTCTTGCAATAGTGGTAGAGTCCTCATCTCCAATGATTCCATCAATGGTTATTCCTTTACTTTTCTGTAGATCTTGGACCATCTCAATAACCATATCTGCCTCCATGGCCTTTGAACTACCCTCCCAATTCTTTGAGCACTCATGGGCTGCTGGATTCTTGTTGGTTGATTCAGCTACACTGCATACTCTGCAATTCTTAGACCTCAGAGAGTATGACAATACTTTGTCGGAGAGAGGACCAACCATGGAACAATGACCTGAAAAATTACAAATTAGAAAAACTGTATAACTTATAGATGTATTCATTGTTTTTATTAAAGCATTTTTCATGCATTTCTTAACTTAATAAAATGTATGTCTTAATACTTTGGCAAGGAAAATCAAACTCGATCACTGATGTTACATGTATGCATTTGGTAATAACCTTTAACCCCTTTAGTCAGCAATGAACCTGTGCGTCCAGTGCACTATAGCATAATTAGGTCAAATATTTATTTTTCATGAGGGGTGCTGTATAATTAATGCAAATCGTTCAACTTTAAAAAAGTAAACAGTTGCTATAAAACGTGTTTGCAGGATGCAATAGGGACCAAATTCCTACTTCTTTGAAGTTAGTGTTCTAAGTATTGACAATGCTTTGGTAAATAATGTTTCTAATAAGTGTCGTTAAAAATTGGTTGCGTGCCATAGAGCGATTAGCGAATACGCTAACTGTGTAAAATCACCTAATATTTTAATATTTTGATTTGACTCATTATGACTCTTAATGATTTTTCTCCTATATATATTCCCGTGTAAACATTATATCCTTTTTTGGCTCCATTATCCCACCTTGGGTCCATATTTCGAACAAAACTGAATATGCTTTACCTGCATGAGCAACATAACTATTCATGGCTGTTCTTTAGAAGAATATTTTACAATTTATATGGACAGTTGAACTTTGAGATATGTGTCTTTCTAAATTTATTGCATCTGTTTCGTGGGCATAAAATTTTGTTGTTTTGACATCAAAAATAATCTCGTCGTTGTTTTAAAACTAACCCTAGGTCTAAAAAAAATATGTTTGTTTCCTGTAACCCGACCGACCCATTCAAATTACCCCCCGGGTGAATTTTTTTTCTGACAAATGGCAAAACTTCGTTTGATCAATCAGCTGATTCCATTTATTAAAAAAAGAAAATTAGCTTGTAGCTTAACTTGAGACATAAAATATGTCAACCTAGTTTACATTTAAGTTTGATTAGTTATAAAGAGTAATCATTATTATAACAACAATTTCCCCCTACAACTTTCTGAAGATCGTTTTCCGCCGCTAGGCAGCCATTTTGGATGCCATGTTGGGTGTCCACTGTAAATATGACACCTGGTATATTGAGTCCAGGGATGTTTGACAATTCATATGAAAAAAAAAAATCCCGACCTACCGACCCTTAATTTTTTTGGAATGTTACAGGAAACAAACATATATATATTTTTTTAAAGCCCTATTCAATATATAGTCATATAAAATTTCGTGTGGGATTTAATTTTGTTGAATTTTGTTAACGGAATAAACAAAATTTAATTCCCCCGAATATTTGTGCTTTTACAGTATTTTTACCTGATAAACTATCATATGTCTTTCCGCTACCCCGTTTTTGCCATCCAGCATCTACAGCAACAACTAGTCCATTTTCGTTCATCTCTCTGAAAAATAGTTAAATAACAGACATCAGTTATTAACTGTGAACCTGTCTCCTTTAGAACACCCCCTAATGTGCATAACATTCTGCATATTTATCAACACAAATTATACTGTACATGACTAAACCTTATATTTATCAGTATATCAGATTCTATTAACTTGATCACTATCAATTATTATTAGGTATTCCCTATGATTTTCATTTGGGGATCAAAACTAAAACACGAGGCTCTTGGGGCTTGGGCCACAATACTCTAGGAAGTCACTGTCTCTGTCCAATCTAATTAAAATTATTTGTTAGATCCACTTGCATACTCGCTACACAAACATCTAACAACATCTCATTGAGGGTCACGTCAGAGGTCAAATTCTAATCAACCAAATTGTCTCTTGCAAAATCATTGTTTATTTGTTGACGTAATTGAAGAAAATAAGTCTAGGGTTGTTCCGAATTTGAACTCTGAGTGACCCTCTATAGGATGTTGTTAGATGCTAGTGTAGCAATTATGCGAGCAGATCTAACATCTAATTTTGATTAGACTGTGTCTCTGTCACTCTTCAATTTTTTTTCTTCAATCAAATTTTCCTTTTTTAATTCATTCTAGGAATGAATTTAATAGCTACCCAAGTTATACTGTATATCCTGGGTTGTGCCAGTTTTGGCTTTCTATACAGCGAGGCTTTCATTTCAAAGCAGGTCACACTATTATAACTTGGATAACTATGAAGTTAATTCCTTATAATTTAATTCTCCATCAATAAGTAAAGAAAATAAGACAATTTTTCCTTCAAAGATGCATGCAATTAGTACATACATGTATCTTATATGTAAAATTAAATGGGTTGTTATGTTTGTGACATACATGTTAGTAATTGTGACTTAACCAACACAGGTTATACCATATGACCACTACACATGTATGCTAGACACCCATTGATCTGATCAGAAAAGCTCTATTGCGCCTTTGGCTCATTTGAGCTAAATAGTGAGATTTAAACTGAATTTATATTGTTTACACACTCATTCATCATTTCCAGTTCCTTCTGCAAAGCATCAGACATAGACTCTGCAGCAATATCTTCAACAGCTCTGCCTATCTCTTTCTGTCTTTTGTCCAGCATGGCATGGCTTACAGGTGGTATATTCAGCTCAGAAAGGAGACTGTTGACTTGTGTTGCACCAATACCAACATGTACAATTGCTGTAAATACAAATTCATAAATGTAAAAAAGAAATCAATCTAATCACTTTAAACAAGAAGCTTGTGAAATACAACACTCACCTTAGTCTCATTTATTTTCTCTCTTTATTACCAGAAATTAAAAATAGAACCCATACTTTTAACAAACTAAACCCCTAGGGGTAATGGCAACAAAACTTGAATTGATCTACATTAGGATGATTCAATATCAATATGATTAATACAGTAATAAGGCTTTGCTGTTCTACAGAGAATTTTTTCCATCCGAATAGTCAAGTGGTTTAGAGAACAAATCAAAAAAAGTCCCATTCTAACTTGTTATACCCTTTCTATGATGTGAATATAGGTTCTTTTGTGAATATACAGGCAGACACATGGATAAATAGGAAGCAGACATTGGATTTCTATAAAAGTGAATTCCATCATATGGCATATTGCCAAAACAAGGTGTGACTGTGTGGTAAAACACAAGAGTAAAACAGTATACCAGTACCCACTTCCCTCTCCTTTAAAGCATATTTTGAAAAGTTGACAGACAGATAAATGGAAAAAGATCAGAAAGCTGAAATGAGCCTCTGGCTTCAATAAGTTAAAAATAGCTTGCCTTCTCATCAAGTTTTTATTCTGAATTAAACATTATCAGGGGCGGATCCAGGAATTGAAGTTAGACGGGCAGGGTTCGACATTAACGTTAGTCCGTTAGTCTCAGACTAATAAGTCTCAGACTAATACATTTTCATTTGGACTAATAAAAGTTGTGGCGTATTAGTCCGAATGGACTAATAAAGTTTTCTGGGGGAAAAAATTACCGAAGTTCTCGACAACTTTCACTGGAAAACCCGTATGTATTTTTAGCTTTCTTGCATCTTGGCGGAAAGTTATGTAATTCTGAGTCAATTCGGCACTTAATTTTAGGACTCATTGGAATGAAATTAAACATTTTAGGGATTATGATTTATTATGACTCATAAAGAAAGATGTCGGGCATTTGGATGTCGTAATCATTTATAGAGAATAATGAGATTGGGAACACGATCCTAGTTCCTGATCAGGCAATTTCAACAAATATTGGTATAAAACATTTCATGTAAACGCATGCTTTGTTTATTACAAAAAAAGTATAAAAAGTACCTTGAAATGTAAATTCTATTGTTTAATTATATTTTTGACGGACTCATAAAATTGCCTGTGGACTAATAAAATTAAAGATGCACTAGTCCGGCTAGACCAACGCCGAAAAATGTTAGTGTCGAACCCTGGCGGGTTGGGCGCCAGATTCAGGCAGGGGGTCTGGGGGCCGCCTTGAGGCAAAGCCCTGGTGGGGGCCAAGGGGGCGAAGCCCCCCGAAGCTCTTGGATTCTAGAGGTTTTGTAGGGTAAATATGAGGTCTACCAAGTAGACATCAGAAACATTTCCTCGACAAAACTATGTTTTATGCTAACTTTGACAATTTCAGGGGGGGTGCGCGCCGGGTGTGCCCCCCCTTAAATCCGCCACTGATTATATCAATTTATAGATACATATACCTATTTACTGGCTATGAGGACAAAAGCAAGTTTATTGTCCCCCAAGACAGCAACAATTTCTCAAGGTGCGTCCAAGTTGCTGTTGAGGGGGACAACAAACTTGCTTATATTGGAATAGACAGGTAAAACTCAATCAGGCTCTTGTGACTTGACAATAATAAATATACATGTAACTGATGTAGGGGATGTGTACGTTAAACTTCTTACCTGCTGATAGCTTTGTATTTACATCCCACACTCTTCCATGTTTTTTCCCCGTTTTTACATGGTTGATATGATTACACTTTGTATTGCTGCAACAGACCTGAAATGTTAATGTAAAATCAATGAATCCCTAATTACAGGTCACTGTTCTAAATTCATTCACCATTAATGAAATCAAATGCTTGGGAAAAAAGAATTTAAATATGCATTACTTCAAATTACTTCAAAGAAAAAAATGTAACATCTTTCAAAACTAAAAATATGGATATATGGAATACTGCCTGTTTTATATGGAGAAAAATTCAAGGAAAAACCTTTCAAGGTTGTTTTTATACAAACTGTGCAAAAATTGGTGAGTTCATACCTTTAACAAAGAAGCTAAACCATATGTCAACACAGAAATAGTGTGTGAAAGTTGTAATGGTAAGCCACATTTACAACATCCCCGCAAGCCCTCAGCTAACACTCCAAGTTCTACTACTCTCCTCCCCTCCTTCCAATCCTCAGATGTAGTCACTTCTTCCCCATCCACCACCTCCTCTCTTTCCAGTATATTCAAATTTGGCAATTCTATGAATAATGAATAAAAATTATCACCATTACACATTCTTTATTATCTACTGTAACACATCCTGACTAGTTGACTGTTTAGATACACTTACTAAATTCCAAGAACCAGTTTTCAAAATAATTCATAGTGCCGATATACAACATATTTTTCCATATACCGATATTTCTCAAGATATTCTGAAATCAATCTAAAATATGATCTACTTTCTTTTACTCGACATTTGCTTGGGCCCCTGGTCATTCACATGTAAACAGACGGTGTATGAGGTGCAGCGAAGAGTTGCATAGATTTGCAAGATCTTTCAACATTTTAAAGTTGATTTCTTACTCCAGATTGTAAGGTTAAGTAGTCTGTATTAATAAGTTAAAATCTGCATCAACAACTACACCGCCATTTTGATTATGAATGTAAAAGAAGCTATATGGTTGAACAATTTTTTCCCGTAATGCATTATCATGATTATATACCTTTCTATTTTCAAAACAATTAGACCGCTAACATTTTGTTTGTGACTTAGTAAGATCATATGATCCAATTAAAGAAAAATCATGTAAATCTCAAATTCAAATGAGCAAATATTCATTGAGTTTAGAATAGACTTTGGAGAAAATTTGTCCTGTCGTTCCCGCGTAACAATTAGTGTTGGGCCCATTGGCAAGCTGATGTCAATTAAAAAAATTTAGGTCAATTTCGGAATTGATTTCATAATATCTTAAGAAGTATAAGGAATTACGGAATGAAATTTGAAGGAATGAAGATTGTTTATATATGGATAGATATGGATAAAAAGTAAATTTGTAAAGCATTCAATCTAAAAGAATTTTATTGGTGAAAGTAGGTACCCTATGAAAAGAGTTCCATACCTTTATTTTTTTTTAACACCTCAATTTTTTTTCTAAGTGATCTAAAGGCCTGTGGGTCAAATGAGTATATCTTTCATCACGTGCAGTGTATTAAAATAAAATACAGTAATTATCTTTGATTAGTATTGTCATGTAAGGTAAGACATCAGCAAATGTAATTTTTTTTTTGTAACAGCTAGGCCTAGTATATATATATTTTATTGAAATCCACATATAACATCATGTATAGATAGTTTTCGATTGACCTAAATTTAGCAAAAGTTACCTCCCGTTGGCAGCCATACTGGAGGTCCAAATGCTCATATTGCTTCATTGTTCAACCAATTTAAAATTTTTATATTTGCGATTTTGAATTAGGAATCATTATTTTTCTGAAATATATAAATTTTTGGAAGCCTCCTTTATTTAAAGAAAATTATTTATTAAGGATTTTCCACCAAATATTTCTGCTACAACCTCTTAAACTTGGTAAGACAAAGAGGGAAAATCACCCAGTCGACCTCCAGTATGGCGACCAACGGGAGGTAACTTTCGCTAAATTTAGGTCCATCGAAAACTATCTATAGTTAAATTTATTATTATCAAATATGATTCAAATTTCCATGTTGCACTTTGATTACAATAGGCCATGTGGTTTTCAATAAAATACCCCCCCAAAAAATTATATTTTTAAAACTTTGTTGTCAATCAGATGAAAACTTGTTTTTATCAAAATATATCTTTGAAAATTCAATTATATACTTGATAAAAACAAGTTTTCAATGTCTTAGTTATGTCATGTTGTTTTTCAATGAAATATTGAGAAAAATTCAATATCTTCTCTTTTGGTGCACATCTTTAACTATTATAATTTTTTTTTTAAATAGCTACACGTAGTCATAGTTCAAAAAGTCTTTAGATTGGACCTGGTATATAAAATGAATTCTGGATGTTTCGGGACCGCGACCGACCCCGACGTTTCGGGACCTGACAACACGTTTCGGGACTTGGGTTAACACGTTTCGGGACTTGGGCTAACACGTTTCGGGACTTCTATATATTTTGTTAAGGAAATGAAATAAAACTTGTTTACTTTTGTTTTTATGTTTATATATGTATAATTTCTCAGTTTTATACACAATTTATCATTTAATTAGAAGCACAGATTGGAATATTAGTTTGCATGCGGCATGGAGCACACCTGCCGAGAAAATCAACCGCCCGAAATGTTGTCTCTACATTTCTTATTACAGCATTTGATATACATGATATATCACCTTTATAAAGTATTTGGTTCGCCAAATTTAATTCAAAAAATATATTTTAGAATTAGGCTATGTATTGATTTATTTATAGTGTTTGATACGAGAGTTTGCAGAATTAAAACCGGGAGACAGTTGTAACTGCTGTGCGAAGACCACGGACGTGTTTTTACTTCCAAGACTTTCTTTCTCTCCATTTTAATAACAATTTTAAGTGTTTGATTTCATATTTGTTTACAGAATTAACAAAGGCTCAAGCTAGCACATACGTGCAGTAAAAACTTTACGTTTTACGGGTAGTTGTTATGTTTACTGTGTATACACAGACTACAAATCTCAATGAAACTTAATTATCGATCTTCGTATATACCCGACCAGTGCGTAATATTATGTGATGTTACATAATTAGGTACATGACACACTGTTTAAATGATACTGTAAATAAATACTAAATATTATTTAATTTGCAAATATTAAATTTTTCATTTTACACGTACGTTGTGAAAGTGTTTAAAAGACATTCCAGATTTTAAAAAAAAATGACTACGTTAACAGGTCAACTTAAATTTTATTTTTTATTAAATTTCCACCTAGCCACAATAAATAGATAAAGCTATGATGAAATTTAGAATATTTTTAAAGACATTATTTCAAACGATATCAAATGAAATCATGTTGTTTATACCATTTAATATTCTTTTTTTAAAAGTATGGTATTTTTTAAAAATCTACATGTAGGGAAAATATTCGCGCAACATTTGTAAAATATGTTTATTTACAATGTTTTGGAAACTTTAAAAATGTTTTCGTAAAATTTCCAGGGAGGAATCTTACAATAGATACTATGCTAAAACTTTTTGAAAAATAAAAATATTTGAAACTGTTTGGGAAAAAAATAGAGAAAATCAATCAAAACATTTTGAAAACCTTTATATTTTATTGAACTTTTGATGATGGGAAAATTATTACTATTATATAAATATTGTTTGATTTGTAATTATTTCATTTACCAATAAACAAACGATATTTTTTTGCATATTTTTAGATTTTTATTTTCTTAAAATAATTTCAATAGAAACCACACAATCTTTTCAGTCCCCATTACCGGCGGCGTCTTTATACATGTACGTAACACCTCCCTATGGGATATGTGTACCTGGTCCTAGTTGTTGTTTTAACAATTCACTGACATATTTTTAAAGATATATTCGACGGTAGCTGGAGATCACTTGAATATTTTAAAATATATATCATCAACCTGAGAAGATTAAATTTTGGAACCCCCCCCCCACTACACACACAAGAAAAAATAACTAATTAAAAAAAAATTGATAAGAAATAAAAAGAAATCAATACAAATATTGTAAAGATTTATTCTTATTCGTCTGTTATGAAAAAAAAACCCATCAAAGAATATCTTTATGAAAATTTTTATTTTATATATACATAAAAATTAAATATTACGTACTCCGTGTACTTAGAATAATATGCTATATTACCATAATAAAATAATTTGTTGAGATCCCGAAAAAATTTCTTTTTATTAAAGAGAAAATGTATCTATGGCGATTAATTTATAAAAAAAATTATTTTATAAAGTTTAATGTCTGTCCATATATTTATCTAATGATACATTAATAAAATAAATAAATAATTTTAGCTAAATATGTTATTTATTTCAGTATTTATTGAAATCCCGAAAAATTTAACCCAAGTCCCGAAACGTCTTGCTGCAAGTCCCGAACCGTCTTATCGCTAGTCCCGAATCGTCGTGTACCTAGGTCCCGAAACGTCGGGGTCCCGAAACATCTTGCACCCTATAAAATGAACATCAACAAATTCATGTACCTCCCTTTAATATTTCTAATATTTCTAATAGACCTATGTGTAATCATGGTAATTTAGATGCAGATATGAAAACGAGTCTTTTAGATTACGTATTTTACATGTACAAACCGTGATCGTGATCAACGCTGACAGGGGTTGCACTGGCGGAGTAATTGTGGTCTGTAAGGATAGCTCCCCTAATCCATCGAGTCAATTGCCCTGCAGATACTTTATCATATCTCTCCTTCTGCTTTTTCGAGACGAACCCATGGCGTCTGTACTTTGGTTTCACCATCTCAACCAAAGTTACCGCGCAGACCTTGACTTCTCGTCTGCTTTTTGTTTACATTATCGTAATCCGGTTCACATCCGCGAAATGTAAAATGCTTATTATATGTTTGTTTTCTGGCATAAAAAATTGTTATTATGTTACTTTCTATGGATGATGATTATAATTATTTGTAGAAACTATTAATTCTCTGCCGTATTGAATTCTTTATTATAACGACATTCAGACCAATTTCCGGCAGTTCGAGTTGCGCGGTGAATTCAATTTCGTCAGAAGCGAAACACCTTAATTTAAATTTCTTTTTACTAAGCTTTGGCATTCGATGATTTAATACTATAAACTACTGGGAGCATTTTAGAGCGATGCAGTTAGCCTTTTTATACTAAAAATGAGTTCTGTCCATTTAGCAAGTTAGAAGCAATTTTACTGATTTTATGACGACAAAAATGAAAAATTAATTCCACTGAATAATTATGAAATGTTACCGATATTCATTTGTAGAAACACTCTCGAATAAATGCCATATATGAAATAATTCTCGTCACCAAAATAAGGTGGAATTACCATAAAACATTGTTTGAATGTTTATGTTTATTTTCATGGACTGAAATACATACCAGACTACAATATCAAATTTTCCATCATAACCGAATCTGTAATTACTTTTATTTCCATTTGGCCAGCGAACCTTTAAAAAAATATTTAAAGATTCCATGCACATGTAAATTAAAGTCAATCATTTGATTTAAACCATCAACAACAAAAAAAGGGAAGTCACGTGACGGTGTAGTGAATGGACGTGTCCTTTATCCGCTCCGTCTTTTGACATATATTTTTCTTGGATTTTTCTTTATTGTGCTGTTTTGTGTATATATACTGTGTACAGTGGTTTTGGGAAGTGTTTTCCTTTTCATTTGGAAGTTTTCCTTGGAAAAGGCGAGCGTATTTGTGTTTATTGCTATTGTGTTTAATTCAACAGTGTGCTAAACCTAGGTGAGTGAAGCTCACACTGAGTTTTGATTGAACAATGGAGCAAACAAAAATGTTAAAACCCGTATATCTAAGGAACAGAGATATCCAGACGGACAAGAGCAACTATGTAACAGATTATAACTTAGCATGTGCGGTGGGTACGGTTATTTCAGATATCAAATGCATCCAGAGGGACAGAGACCTATGGAGAATTTATGTAGAATCGCGTGAAAGTAGGAATCTTCTTGTATCGGAAGGCTTCGAACTGCGAAATAAAACAGTTTCTGTTTTCGATACAAATCCCTTTTCAGCAGGGACAGAGAACCCTAACGAAGAGGTTGTACGAGTAACAGTTAGGGGGGTCCTCCTCTCTGTTGATGACACATGCATTAAAAATATGCTCGAAAAACTAGGGGCAACTCTTACCTCTGACATTAAGTATGAAAAAATTCGAAATCCAAATACTTTAAAAATGACAGAAATATTAAATGGCAATCGATTTGTCTACATAAAACCATTAGAAAAGGGGAAATTTCTACCAAGAAATAGTGAGTGTGCAGGTCTCAAATGCTCAATTTCTCATCTTGGTCAACCAAACAAGAAAAGGAGCATGGTGTGTACCAACTGCTGGGGAGAAGACCATTTAAGGTACAATTGCGAATACGAGGCCTGTTGTAAAGTCTGCCGGAACCCTGGCCATTCCCCGGGAGACACAGCCTGTCCTAAGCACGATTCATCTTCCAAAGAAATCATTACTTTCAGTGGAAAAGATGATGTCTTGTCTAATTTCTACCCGTGCGATATTACAGTGTTTGGTGTTGCTCATGCTTCCGCAGAGCATGCTTTTCAGTATAGCAAAGCGATGCAAGCAGGCGACATCATAAAGGCATCCGCTGTCAGAAATGCCGATACTGCGTTAGACGCCAAGCGTATCGGGTCACAGGTGACCGTTCCAGATCATTGGCTTCAGGAGAGAGACGACGTTATGCGTCAGGTCATCGAAGCGTAATTCGATCAAGTGATTGAGTTCAAGGAAAAACTTTCCTCTGTCGAATCATCTACTCTTCTCGTCGAAGCCGCCTATGATGACTATTGGGGGTCTGGACTCGACAAAAAAGGAACGCAGTACACTGAGATTAGCGCGTGGCCAGGGAAAAACACTATGGGCCAAATTCTGACGGATATCATGAGATCAAAACGGCCAAATCCAAACACGGCTCAGAAAAGCCAGTTGGTAAGAAACCGCAGAAATAACAGCAAATCAAGTAACAAAGCATGAATGGTAAAGTCCGTGGACTAAACTCGGACGAAAAAAGGGTTAAACTATATACATGGTTACATGATACGAAAATAGATGTTATTTTTTTACAAGAGACCCATTATGTCGAGAAAAATAAGATCAAATATGACTCAAGATGGTTCGGAAAGTCATTTCATTGTTATAGTGACTCATCATTCAGCCGAGGTGTCAGTATTTTATTTAAGAAAGAATTGAATACAGAAATAGTTGAGAAACATGTATCTCATGACGGTAGAAGATTATTTTTAAAAGTAAAAATAAATGAAATACTCTATTCATTTATAAATATTTATGCACCAAACTCTGTAAAAGAAAGAGGTCTATTTTTCAAACATTGCATAGTTTCATGCATAAAAAATGTACACCAGATGATGATAATATTATTTTATGTGGTGATTTTAATTGTAAAATTGATAATGATTACGATCAAAGTATTCAAAAGCTAAAAAAAATACTAAAATCGTTTGATTTAATAGATACATGGAAAACGAAATATCCAACCTCAGATGGATATACATGGTGCAATTCAGAAAATATTCCTAGTAGTAGAATAGATCATATATTCTTAAGCAAAAATTTTGCCTTGGACTTAAAGAACATAATTATACGTAAAATTCCTGGAACAAATTTCGGAAAAAGAATGTCCGATCATAGGGTATTAAAAATATCATTTAAATTAGATGAGAAAAAACGAGGTAGTGGGTACTGGAAATTAAACAATTCCCATTTAACTGATTTAGAATATAAAAAAGGAATTAAAAATATAATAAGTGAGCTACAAGAACAACAGGTTAACCCAATAGATAGGTGGGAATCTTTCAAAATTAAAGCAAGAGATTTTTCTATTAGATTCGCAAAAAAATCAAGTCAAAATATTAAGCAAAAAATTAACTTATTAGAAAAGGAATTAGATAAAATAGAAGAATCAAATTTTCAAAATATTGACATGAACAAAAAACGCAAAATAGAAAGAGAATTAGATGAGCTTTATGACAAAAAGTGTAAAGGTGCCTTTGTAAGATCACGATCGAAATGGATATTAGAAGGTGAAAAATGTTCAAAATTTTTTCTTAATCTAGAAAAAAGTAGACAAAAACAAAATGTCATAAAAGAATTAAAGATAAATAACAATAATATAGAGACTACGGATGACATTTTAGGCGCTATGTGTGAATTTTATGAAAATCTATACGCTTCAAATAATATATCTGACGATGGCATAGACAATTATCTATCTTCAATTGAACTGGAAAATACACTAAGCGAAAGCGATGCTAATTTCTGTGAACAATTTCCTTCTCTAGAAGAATGTTCTGAAGCAGTATTTAATCTAAAACCTAACAAATCACCCGGGTTAGATGGTCTCACAAACGAATTTTATCAATGTTTTTGGAAAGATATACAACCCCTATTTTACGAAGCATTGAAAAATATTTTTGAAAATGAACAAATGAGTTTTTCACAGAGAGTTGCAGTTATCTCTCTTTTATATAAGAAAGGCGATGAAAAAAATTTAAAAAACTATCGCCCAATCAGTTTAACTAATACTGACTATAAAATAATTGCTTTTATATTTGCAAAAAGACTGCAAAATGTTATTGGAAATATAATCAATGAAAATCAATCTGCATATATCAAAGGGAGATATATTGGTGAAAATGCTAGAATTATTTTAGATATATTAGAATATTGTGAAGAAACCAACAATGATGGGATATTATTATTTTTAGACTTCGAAAAGGCTTTTGATTCGATAGAATGGAATTTTCTATTCAAAACTTTAGAAAAGTTTAACCTTAAAACAAACTTTTTGAAATGGATGAAAATTCTTTATAAAAATCCAGTATTTCGATTAAAAAACAATGGATGGGTATCTAAAACATGCAAGATGTCAAGGGGAATTCGACAGGGGTGTCCGATCTCAGCGATATTATTTTTATTTGTCGCTGATATTCTAGCTCTAAAAATCAAGAATAACGACCAGATTTCTGGAATAAAACTCTCAGATAGGGGTAAAGAATATAAACATGTACATCATGCAGACGATCTTACATTATTTTTAAAAAATGTGGAATCAATGAAAGAATGTCTTAAAACAATACACGAGTTCTCTAACTACGCCGGATCCAAGTTGAATATAGATAAAACTGAATGCATCTTGACAGGAGCATTGAGTCGTGTCGGAGAAAAAATAGAAGGTATAAAAGTAAATACTTCATCTCTTAAATGTTTGGGCATATACATAGGTGTAAATAAAGATGAATGCTATAGAAAAAATTGGTTTGATAAATGCGAAAATATGCAAAAACTCTTTGAATCATGGAAAAAAAAGAAAACTCACAATTTTTGGTAAGACTGAAATAATAAACAGCTTAGGTATAAGTAAATTCATCTATGTTGCGTCTATCTTACCTATTCCACAAGAAAACGAATTAAAAAAAATAAATAAATTAATTTTCAACTTCCTTTGGGACTCCAGAGACAGGATTAAACGGAATACATTAATTGGCAAAATAGAAGAAGGGGGGATTGGAGTAGTTGACGTAAGTAGTATAAGGGGTCCCGCTAGCGCGGAAGATTCTGATTGGCTGAGAGAAAATCACATGATTTGATTGGTTGAGGGGAAAGGGGGGTCAACTGAGTGCAGTCCTAACCCTAACTAACCCTAGCCCCCTAACCCTAACCCTAGCCCCTTAACCCTAACTAACCCTAACCCTAACCCCCTAACCCTAACCCTAACTAACCCTAGTCCCCTAACCCTAACTAACCCTAG